CTCCCCCACGGTTACCAAGGGAACCGCTGGCTTTGGATCAACAGGAGATTTGGCTCTGTTAACTATGACAATGAATAGCTGTCCAGTGACCGACGTTACCTTCTGCTCGAATGGGACACAGATTTGCCTTACTGTATTATTGGATACTGGAGCCGACCTCACCATTGTGGACAATAACCATTGGCCACCCAACTGGCCTTTGATACCTATGTCTCGTGGGGTTGAAGGAGTTGGGGGACACTCATCAGTGATGTGCAACAGAGAGCATATTAGAGTAATCATAGATGGGAGAGTCGCGAATACGTATGTAACAGTTATGCCTCTGCCTCAAGGAGTTTATGGCCTAATTGGTCGTGATGTGCTGGACCAGATTGGTGTCATCCTGACTACCAGCGATCCTTTTCAGCTACGGTCACTGCTTCTAAAGCTTTCCCGATCCCGTTGAAGTGGTTATCAGACACCCTGGTTTGGATCAAGCAGTGGCCGTTGAAAAAGGAAAGCCTTGCAGCAGCGCATCAACTAATTGAAGAACAGCTGTCTCAGGGACATTTACAATTGTCCACTAGCCCGTGGAATACACCCATATTCATTGTCCGAAAAAGTCAGGGAAATTTCACCTCCTCCATGATCTGCGAGTGGTAAATGCGCAGATGCAGCCCATGGGAGCCCTCCAGCCCGGGCTGCCCAATCCATCTATGCTGCCTGAACACTGGCATCTACTCATTGTTGATCTGAAAGACTGCTTCTTTACCATCCAACTGCATCCAGAGGATACACAGTGCTTTGCCTTCACCCTCCCATCGATTAATCGTGAAGCACCGGCTCAGTGATTTGAGTGGACAGTATTGCCACAAGGAATGAAGAACAGTCCAACACTCTGTCAACTGTTTGTAAACAATGCCTTACTACCTGTCAGAATTGTCTGGCCTACTGCAATTATATATCATTATATGGATGACATTCTGATTGCTCAAGAATGCCCTTTCTCTCACCAGCAACGTTCCTTTTTGACTCACGCTCTTCAAAAGGAAGGCCTTGTTATTGCTCCTGAAAAGGTTAAATCTTCGGCACTGTGGAAATACCTTGGGTGGCTGATAACAGACTCACAAATACAACCACAGAAATTACAGATACAGCTTGATGTCCGTACCTTACATGATGCACAGAAGTTGCTTGGAGACCTACAATGGCTTCGCCCTGTGGTAGGAATTGCCAATGATGAATTGGATGTCCTCTGACCCTTACTCCAGGGGGTTGATCCCGCTCGCCCGGTGCACTTATCAGAGGAACAACGATCAACCCTGTCCCGAATTGCAGACTACGTTACCCAGCGATGGGTTGACCGCCGAGATCCCCGGCTACCGGTAGACCTCACCATCTTAAATGGCCCATCCCAGCTCATCGGCACATTAACTCAACACCAAAAGAAAAAGGGGGAGAAGGTCAAGGTACTGGAAGCGGTATACACAAGGCTACAGCCTCAAAAATCCATTTGACAAAAACTGGAGAACCTAGCAGAATTAATTAGAAAGGGCCGAACTCGCATCCTGCAGATTACGGGATCTGAACCGGGCAGCATACGTCTCCCCATCAAGAGGGAGATGCTTGAATGGTGCATCAGACAATCGGACGAATTGCAAGCCAGCCTGCTAACTGCAGCTCAGGATATAGCAGTGACCCCAATCAAATCGCCAGTACTGCAATGGGTGAGCCAACACGACTGGATCATGCCTTCCAAACGCAGTGAGACGCCTCTATCAAACACCATTACTGCTTTCACTGATGCTGGAAAGAAATCTAAGCGTGCCGCCGTCACCTGGTTGGAGGATAAATTATGGCACCACCATGTTTTGTCAGCTATTCCAGGGGACTCATTGCAAACGCTTGAACTGTCAGCAGTGGTTTGGGTCATCCTTTGATGGCATGATCAACGTCTCAATGTAGTAACTGATTCTTTATATGCTGCAGGAGTCCTACACCGTATAGAAGATGCACGACTCAGGGACTCAAAAAATCCCAGATTAAATGAACTATTTTGCCGACTTCAATCTGCTTTGCAACAGCGCCAGAATCCGTATGCAGTCATTCATATAAGAAGTCATATGTGGTCCCAAGGACTAGGGGAAGGGAATCAAAGAGCAGACCGACTCGTCACCCTAACAGTGCCACTCAGCAACTTTGTCAAGGCCCACGAGGCTCGTGCTACTTTCCATCAGAATGCAAAAGGCCTGAAAAAACAGTTTAATATAACCACTGAAGAAGCAAAGGGATTGTAAGAGCCTGCCCAGAGTGCAGCCATCATGGTCCTGGCCTGGGAGTCGGAGTTAACCCCCGAGGATTGGGCCCCTGTGACCTCTGGCAGATGGATGTGACGCATGTCCCAGAGTTTGGTCGGTTAAGATATCTGCACGTCACAACTGACACATACAGCCCGTTTGTATGGGCCACGCCCCAGACAGGCGAAAAGGTATTGCACGTAGTACGCCATTTGACGAGCTGCTTCGCTGTCATGGGGGTTCCACAGAAGATAAAAACGGACAATGGTCGGGCTTATATTACTGAAAAAATGAGAAAGTTCTGTCAGAGCTGGGGGGTTGTACACATGACAGGTTGTCGTGGTTTAGGCCTGATTGTCAGCCAACCACAATGCAGCAGATATCTCTCCCTTCCCCTCCGGCAATGAGAAGGGACAGAGAGCCAGGCTTGGGGTTCAAGATAGGACTGGGATGGGGAAAAATCACCCTTTTATGATCACGAGCAAAAGGCAGACTCGTTAGGGGAAGGAAAAAACCCATATATTTATTACAGACACTAACAACACATAACAGAGTAGGACAGTGAGAAGCATTGCCACATCTTGAGAACACCTTCCCCCCACCCCTCCCTTCTTCCCGGGCTCAGCTCTGCTCCCGATATCTCTACCTCCTCCCCCAGTGGTGCAGGGGCAGGGAATGGGGGGTGCAGTCAGCGCTGCCACTCCTTCATCTTCGGTGAGGGGAGTGTCTGAAACTTGTTCCCCCTGCTCCATCGTGGTCCCCCTCTCACAGGAGACAGTCCTCCACAAACTTTCTCCGACTTGAATTCCTCCCATGGGCTGCAGCGTTCCCCACACTGCTCCGTCATGGGTCACTAACTTGCTCTGACTGGATTCTCTCCCACGGCTGCAGCCCTTCCCGAGCTGCTCCTGGCGTGGGACTCCCCCGCATGCTGCAATCCTCCCAGCACTGAATTACAGCAGCAGGGCTACCTTTTCCCATGAGACCCCGGCCTTCTTCGGGCACAGAACCTTGATTATGCCGAGCAGGAGCAACAGGCCATAAATCAATGTCTGCTCCACTGTAGATCTTCATGGGTGGCAGCGGGGGGCCGCCCTGCCGTCTCACCACAGGATACAGGGGGCTCTCTGCTCCGGCACACCTCCCCCCTCCTTTCTTCCTCCGTTCCTCCACTGACCTTGGTGTTTATGCAGCTGCAGCAACTCCTCCTCACAAGTCCGAATGCACATCACCACGTCCCTTCTTAAATATGTTATTGCAGAGGCGCAGCCGATTGGCTCAATTTCCCAAACAGAATTGGAGCTGACGTGGAGCTGGGGGAGCTTCGAGAAGCTTCTCACAGGGGGCCGCCCCGATAGCCCCCTCCCCTGCCACCAAAAGACTCCACCACTCACTCAGGACACAGTTATTCCCCATTCTCCAACTGGGCAGGCTATAACTGAAAGATCACATCAGACAATTAAAATATATTTACAAAAATTCCACGACGTCAAAAATATCCAAGAGAGAGTAGCTAAGGCACTGTTTGTGATGAATTACCTTTGCATTTTTGGAGATTCAGATGTAGCGCCGGTTAAGAAACATTCTGACACCTCCGGGAACAACAAACCACAGGGCATGAAAGTCTATTATAGAGACCTATCCACAGGGAAGTGGGAGGGACCTGCTGAGGTCCAGTTCCTTGGTAAGGGCTATATGTGTGTTCTTACTCCCTCAGGCTCCCAGTGGATTCCTGCCAGGTGGACTAAGGCCGCTTTGGACGTTGGACACTCTGAAGTTCCAGACTGTTAAATTTCCTTGGGATAACTGAAGCAATGTGGTGGTTTCTGTTACTGGTTTTGGGGGGCGCGAATTCGATTGGGGTTGGGATAAAGAGAACCGTGTTCGATCCAAGAGAAAATGTATGGGTAACATTAGGCTGAGCCGCAAACACTACCACCTTTTGCACTAGTCTCGCCACCCCAAGTGTGCCCTTTCTAACATGCTTGGTAGGCATCCCCCTGAACAGTGCCAACTGGGGTTCTCTAAACCAAACACTTGCGGAATATGCCCAACGCTGGAACCAATCCAGGAACTGGTATAGGGCTTTTGCATCAAACATGAGTAGCTGGTTTGACAAATATGATTCTTGGGCTAACCGCCTGCCCATTGGCCCACTGCCCCCAGGAACTTGAACTAGTAGACTCACTGAATGCCTCTTACTGTGTTTTCCTAGATGCGTCTAAATACCCCTGCAGTGAAGGGAACCGGTACCCTTGCAAGGTCACAGTAGGAACTGAGGTATCCTCACAAGGCAGTAGCGCCTGTTGGGGAAATTGGTGTAAGTCAAACAGCCGAAACAGGCTGCATCCAGCCCCTGGTACTACCACGCCCAGGAGGTTACCTCCTGGCCTATTTCTCATTTGTGGTGATCGGGCATGGCAGGGGATCCCCTTCCGACCCACTGGAGGGCCCTGCACCATTGGGCGTCTCAGTTTGGCCTTACCCCATCATCACCCTAATAAAACCTATCCAGTCCGGCGATATAGATGCGCACTAAAGACCCTCACTAATGCCTGTGATGACAATGTCAGTTTATGGAACAAATAGGAAGCAATATTCTCTTCTTTCTTTGTCCCAGGTGCTTCTGCTGCCCAAGCGCACCGACAGTTAGAGAAATTATCTTGCTGGGTGGTAAAACAGGCAAATCTTACCAGCACTGTACTTTCAGGCCTAGCCGAGGGTATGAACGAAATCCAGCATGCCATATTACAAATCGAATGGCCATCGATTTCCTACTCTTGGCGCATGGTCATGGCTGTGAGGATTTTGAGGGTATGTGTTGTATGGATTTGGAAGACAAATCGAGGTCAATTCATACGGAACTTAAACAGCTTGTAGAACATACCCAAAAGATAAAACAAGATGTGGGGTTCTTTGGACTAGACGGACTCACTAACTGGATGGGATTAGGTGGATGGTTAAAAGGCCTTTCCAAAGTTTGCTTCTTATTCTGATCTTTGTCATTATTGGGCTTGCATGTTTAAGTTGTGCTTTATCATGTATTAAGAAAATCTTTGAACAAACGTTGGGGCAGGCTCTGCTCGTACAAAAAGAAAAAGAGGGAACTATTGGAGAATGGCACAGAGACAAGGGTCATGAGCCCACCGAGCAGTTGTACGATCAGAGCCTGTTCTAAGGGCTGATGCTGCCTCGCTGATGCTGGGCCTCACTAGGGTTTGCCTGCAGCTGCTCGCAGCTGCTGATACATGAAGAATGTCAAGGACACTTCGGCCTTGTGTATCGTGGTGTGTCAAAAACAAGTTAAGAGGAATTAGAAATAGTGGCCTCAGAAACTTCTTGTTATGGTAACGGTGGTCTGAGAAACTTTGTGTTATGGTACCGTTGTGTATTGAAAACAAGTTAAGAGGAATTAGAAATAGTGGCATGAGAAACTTAGTGTTATGAGAAGCTTGTGCTGTTAGCTAAGTAGGTGGACCGTGCGAATACGACCTTTAGAGCTTAAGCCAATCAGCTAGTGACTAGTAGGCATAATAATTATCATTGTCTGTATAAATATATGTACCCTGGTCCAATAAAGATATATGATGCTCTATCACCCACATTGAGTCCGTCTCGGCGTGTCATTCCTCCGTCGCTCCACACAGGCATGTGACAATAAACCAGCCACAAACTGGAACCAAAAAGTGGATGAATTGACAAAAATTAGGAAAATAGACATGAAAAATTCTTTAGACCCCACATGGTATCTATTGGGAGAATGGTTACATCAAAAAAGAAAAGATCTCTGGCCTACTGCTTTTGCCTGTATATATCTGGGATTTTCACAGGTCTACTTTTCCATTGTGCTTTGATCTTTCCCACAGCAGGGCAGGAATCTCAAGGATGTTCAATAAGGTGCCTCTGTGTTTCTCACAGGCCTCTGTTATCTAAGCACAGACATTCTACCTGTCAAGCACACAGAGGTAAACCACAATTAGTGTGATATATGTGTTTTTTGGCACCTCAGCTGCAAGTCACTTGAGCATATTTACAATCCTCCTCGGCAATTTTCCATTCTATTCCCACAACAGGGCAACCTAATAAAAGCCAACAGCTACCTGCAGAGATGGTGGAGCCAAGCTCTCTTCTGCAGTGGCCAATGATATGACAGGGGCACCAGTCACAAACTACCTTTTGGGAGCTCTAGACTGAGCCTCAGGAGAAATAGAATGGACTAGGAGGAACATTGCTGTGATCTCCACCTTTGGAGCGCTTCGGGTTTCAGCTCTACAAAGTCACAGCCAGCCTGGAGGCTGGACTAGAGACCCCTAGAAATCTCTTCCCCACCAATCCTTCCATGAGCCTGTGCCTTGCAACATGCCCTACAAGAAGAAACTAAGACGGAGGTGAGGGCCTCTATGTCATAGGACAATTCAGGGTAAAAGGGAGCTCAGGAAGCCTCGAGTCCAATGCCCAGCTCAAAGCAGGGCCAGCTCTGAGGTCAGACCAGGTAGCTCAGTAAATGTCAACATTCACATAGAGAGTTTACACATGAGCCAGGCATCTAAGCCACCATTACAGAAACGAAGATGAGACATTTGACCAGCTCCCTGAACACAGCTATCAGTATGCCATTCCTCCTGAGATTCCTGGGAACATCCACCTTCTTGTGCAGAAGATTCTTCTGTAAGATTCCTGGCACATCTCCAGACCAGGGGGTGCTCTAGGCTGTAAAAAAAGAAAGGAAGTCTGACTTGGGTACTGTCAACTTAATTACTAAAAGAGAGGGAGATGGAGGGATCTCAGAGCTTCCATGTCACTGCTGAAGATTTAAGCCTCTAAGAAAGAAGCTCAGAATGAAAGTTTTGATCTAACATATCTTTTTGATCATTTCACTTGTGAAGGCTCTGGTCCCCACATCCAGTCACTGGTACCCAGGAACCTGCCCTGCTTTTCCTTCTTCTCCTCCCCAAACCTGACCAAGTGATGGGAAGAAAGGAAGCAGAAAGGCCCTAGGCCTCTGTGAATCAGTGGGGGTCTGGCACTTGGAGGCCACAGTGTCATTTCATTGTACACCCCGTAAAGAACTAAGCTGGGAAGTGAGACTGAAAGCCCAAATCCACAGGGTTCATTGACAGGCAAGGCTGTGTCCGTGGCTGGTCTGGAAACCAGTACACCTCCTGCGTAGATCAAGCTGGTGTTGAAACTCTGGCTTGGGCTTCAATGGTCTCCTGGGCCCAGGGACAGAGGTGTGGGCCCAGACCCGAGGTTGGGCTGGCCAGGGACGATGGAGGCCTATGGATGCTCTCAGTGCCCTGACACTGCGCCCACGGGATCCCCCCTGGCAGTGCCCTCGAGAGGCCAAGTTCTCCTTCCCTGAGGTCCAGGGCCTGTGCTCTGCTCCTCTCCTTCTCCACATCCCTGGGGATCTGGGAGACCAGGATTTCATGGTCACGCCCTGACAATGGTATTCACATCCCTGACCAGCTCTTTTGGGAATACCAGGTCCAGGTGAGCAGACTGAAAGGACTGTTTGTCCATCTGTGCTAAGAATATTTCCACAAACTCCACAAGAAACGTCCTGGGTGGTTTGCATGCTGCTGAACTACATGAGCAGTGAATACCAAGGAAACTGTGTCCTCCAGAAGAGCCAGGTTGTGTGATCCACTGATTTCCTGCGATCATTCAATTAAGAAATTGTTGACTCCTCACTCTGGCTGTATGACCTGTAAATGGCTGGGATGGAGTTGATTTTCTTCATAGCAGCCCATAGGGTGATGTGCTGTGGATTTGTTACTAAACCAGCACTGATAACACATCAGAGTTTTGGATGTTGCTGAACAGCCCTTGCAGAGCATGAAGGCTTTCTCTTTTTCCCACTCTGCCCCTGCAGCAAGAAGGCTGGGGGTACACAAGAAGTTGTCAGGGGCACAGCTGGGACAGCTGACCCCAAAGGATCAAAGAGATTTTCCATTCCATATGATGTCAGGCTCAGAAAAAAAAAAAAAAAAAAAAAAGAAAAAAAAAATCAAAGAAAAAAAACAAACCTAAACAAAACAAACAAAAAACACCAACAAATAATAATAATAAAAAACAAAACCAAAAACAAACTAAACCCCCCCCCCAAAAAAAAAAAAAAAAAACCAAAAAAAACCCCAAACTCAATGAAAGAGGAAAAAGTGGAGATTTTTGTAGTCGTGGCATTTGTCTTCCCAAGCCGTACTTTCCTAGCAATGACTAAAGATCTGTTGCTGATGAGACATTGTGCATGAACTCCCCATTTTGCTTTGCTTGCACACGCAGATATTGCTTCACCTATTAAACTCTCTTTGTCTTGACCCATGAGTTTTCCTGCTTTTGCACTTCCAATTCCCTCCCCTGTCCTGCTGGGGTCGTGGGGGGCAGAGGACAGTGAGCAAATGACTCTGTGGGTGCTTAGCTGCTGGCTGGGGTAAACCAAACTGAACACCTACCACAGTGTCATCGTTTCTGGTTTCTCCTTTGACCCACACACATCTCGATCCATGAGCTTTCCCTCTTGTCCTGTTGAGTGGGCTGAGTGAGTGAGCAGCTGGGTGGCTGTCTGGCTGCTGGTCAAAGTTAACACACCACAGGACCACATCAGGACTGCTGTGTCCAGTACGGGGTTCCTCAGCACAAGAAAGATCCTGACAGACTGGAGAGAGTCCTGCGGAGGCCAGAAGGATGGTTGGGGCCTGGAGCACATTATGGACAAGGAGTGGCTGAGAGAGCTGGGGTTCTGAGAAATCCCTCAGAGCCAAACTCTGCATCAAGGACCCTGGCCAGTTGGTGGGATCTCACTCAATGGATATTTTCAGTATTTGTCAAGACAAGCCCATGAGCACCTGATCTAGCTGGAGCTGTCTGAGACGGGGCTTGGCTGAGAGACTGGCTGTGGCAAGAGCTACGGGACTTGGTGTGTCATGAGTGTCAGTAGGAAACTGGTTTATTTTTTATTAGTAATGGTGGTAGAGTTGGGTATCACTGGTGTTTCCTCTTCCAGGACTTTTCCAGCCCAGCCCAGCCCCAGCCCAGCTCTCCCCACCTGCCCTGGCCCCAGGGCAGTGCCCACCACAGGGTGCTGCAGCACTCTGGGCACTCAACCACAGCTCCAGCTCCTCAGAAGGGCACAGCAGCTCCTGGAGGTCAGACAGGGGGATCATCCTTCCCACAAGCACCAGGGCTGATGCTGGCCAAAAGGGCAGGAGGAAACAGAGGCCAGTCAGTCTCTAGCTCTGCTGCATTCATCTGGTAGGTTGTCCCTAACCTCGACTGCATTTACACCCTTCCCTTCCCCCACCAGCCCTGCTCCCCAGCACAGCACAAGAGTCCTGGCCCTGGGCCTCCTCAGGCAGCTCCTGCACCTCTCCAGTCTCCCTTTCCCATGCCCACTGGGTTCACACTGACCCCCAGGGCACTGCAGAGTCCTTGCTTGCATATACCTTGATTTAGTGCTTTGCTTTTGGGGGACATCAACTTCAAGGGTGTTTCACTTTATGTGTGTCCATTCATTCCCACCCCAGGGCATGTGGTGACCCCTACTCCTCTCCTGACCAAATTATTTTCCATAAAGACAGCTATATGCCATGAGTCCTGGCATATATGAAGCAGCCTGAGGAGGTAGTGGGGAGCTCATGCACCATCTTACACCAAGAAGAGAGCCTTTAAAAGCAGAACTTTTTGTCCAGTGGAACCCAATGGTACTGTGATCTTAACTCCAAATACAGGGAGAACATAAGGAGAAAAGAATTTTAAAAGACCAATTCCTTAGACATTTTATTGGCAGCCACTTTGGAGGCAGAACCCAGCCTTCAGGCACTGCACCCAGGAGATCCCATTTTATTCAAGAGCTGCTATTGGACACGTCACACCTGACACAGTGTGGTGCAAGAGTAAGACACAACAGGAAAAATCCTCAAGAGAGGTAGTATAAGTCCAGAAAATTATCTATATGTAGGATTATTACAGGGAAAATAGCAGACTCCTGGCCTAAGATAAACTCTGGGAAATGTGAAGTGACTTGAGACAGGTTGTTGTCAGTGAAACTACATCCCTTGGGTCAGTTTCCATAGGGCATCCTTGAGCTGCTGGTTCCTCATGCTGTAGGTGAGGGGGTTTACTGCAGGAGGCACCACCGAGTACAGAACGGACAGCACCAGGACCAGGGATGGGGAGGAGATGGAGGGGGGCTTGAGGGAGGCAAACATGGCAGTGCTGAGAACCAGGGAGATTATGGCCAGGTGAGGGAGGGATGTGGAGAAGGCTTTGTGCCGTCCCTGCTCAGAGGGGATCCTCAGCACTGCCCTCAAGCTTTGTGCCTAGCACAGTGCAATGAAAACAAGGCAGCCAAATGCAACAAAGACACTAACCACGATAAGCTGAACTTCCCTGAGGTAGGAGTCTGAGCAGACAAGCTTGAGGATTTGGGGAATTTCCCAGAAGAACTGGTCAACAGCATTGCCTTGGTGGAGCCGTAGTGACAATGTACTGGCTGTGTACAGCACAGCATAGAGAAACCCACCGCCCCAGGCAGCTGCTTCCATGTGGACACAAGCTCTGCTGCCCAGGAGGGTCCCATAGTGCAGGCTGAGCCACACACCCTTGGCAGGAGATGGCCCTGGTGTCCTGCAGGGAATTGACCACGGATTTGGGAACAGTGGTGGAGATGGAGCCCAGTCAAGGACTGAAAGTTTGAGAAGGAAGTGAGAGAAGGCCAAAACTATTTCTCTTGTTTAGAGCAAAGAAGTTGTTTATGGTAGAATCCTAGTTGGTCAGCATGTTCTACTCATATTATTTTCTTCCTTTCACTCACATAGTTTAGTCAACTGCTAGGCAGAATTAATATCAAGATATTTTGAAATATGCAATGTCTCCCTTAGAAAATGTAAGTAGGCCTTGAGATGGTTCCTTAAGTTTCCTGAGTACCCCTGATAACAAGGGCCTAAGACGCCACTGTCAAGATAATCACCTGGGAATTAGTTTAAACTGACCTTCTTGGAGCATCCCAGGGCCAAAGAATGGATGAGCTAACTGCATGACCATATGTGGGCAAAGGAATCCCAAAGTTCAATCACCAGGACACTGTGAGGAAGACTATGAGTGACCACCAGAGGGGGAAAAGACCCTAACCCTAATTTTATCACACATGCTCGGACTATGTAGATAAATTCTAGGAAATCTTATGTATATGTAGATTAGTTCTCAGAAATCTACTGAATATGTACAAGCTCACAGCACATATTCTCTGCGATTGTACCTGTCTGTGGGAGCACTCGTGGTGGAGCGATCCCCAGTGCTGCCCAGTGCTGCTAATAAAGAATACCTGCTCAGCAGTTCTACTGGATTCTAAGTGTTGAGTGAATTTCTGTGTCAGAAGGAGCAGCCCCTGCAGCCCTGGCTGGAGCAGTCGGGGTGGGGGTGGCTCGGGGGCACCGCGGGGATGTGCCTGGGCTCAGCTCCAGGAGGAAACCACAGACTTCCTGACTGGGCGCTTGTGGGGGGGAGTGCAAGGAGCTCTGTGAGGCCACGTGGGCTGTGGTTTGTGCACCTGCAGGCTGCAGCTCCCGAGCCCCCCGCGGGGAATAACGGCCCCTCAGTGACATGCTGAGAGTCAGGGATCCGTCTGAGCTGCTTGTCTGCTGCCAGGACAGGGACATGGACCAGCCCCAGCTCGTTTGAAGGGACCTTCCATGGGGCTCTCCAGGGAGGGACGGGTGAGCCAGCGCTCCTGGGATGGGGCTCTGGCCTGGGCTGAGGCCCTTTCCCCGCTGCCTGCTCCCAGCACAGAGGGGTCTGAAGCAGGGGCAGGGGCTCTTTCCTTCCCCCCCGACACTACCCCCAGTGCCGTCCCAGCCCCGTGGTTCCCGTGGCATGGGGATGGCTGGGCACTCACACCTTGGGCTCTTGGATGTGCCGAGTATAGGAGATGCTCAGTGCTCCTGGCCCACACAGCAGGGTTCAAGGCATGAAAAACCCATTTCCCCCACTACAGCCAGCCCTGTCCTGTGACGCCGCACCACCACAGTGATGTGACACCTGCAGCAGAGCCATCCCTCATATATGGTCATGCATGGCACTGGAGACGTTCATTGGAGGGCTGGGCTGTGTCGGAGGGGAGATAACTCCCGATAATGTCTAAAAAGGTGCTGCTGCTTTGATTGGCTCCTCCCGTAGCTGGCCTGGCATCTGCAGAGCTATATTGCCCTCCCTTCATCTTTGTCCCCGTGAGTCCCCAGGACCTGTGACAGGAGTGCGGTGCGGCAGGGATGTGCTGGCAGGGCAGGAGGCTCAGGATGGGAACAGAGGGACTGCTGTCCCCTCAGGTGCTGGGGCTGCTCCTCTGGGTACAGCTGTGCAGGGGTAAGTGCCGGCTCCCTTGTCCCACAGCCCAGGAATAGCGGGTACCAGCGTGGTCATCGGGATCTGTTTGGGAATGGGGATTCTTTGCAGGTGCTACAGAGATGATGGACACAACGTGCTCAAGTCCGTGGACCCTGTGCCCTTCCCTGGGCCCATCTGGGTGGGAGACAGTATCTCCTTTTGTAGGGTTTCAGTGTCTAGGGCAGCCTGTGCCTGGCTGGATTCATAGACACCCTGTCCTGGGGTACCTTTTGGGACCCCCTGTCCCCTCGCACTGTGCCTCTGGAGTCGGTGGTGGCCTTTCAGGTGATGGCAGCACCCAGAGATCCTCCCCGGGACACTGCTAATGTCTTGGGTGTCCTGAAGGGATTTTACACTGTTCACTGCCCCCTTTTTCCAGGGGAGCCCTGAACCCATGAAGACAGTTTGTACCCCATGGAGAGATGGGGACCAGGGTATCTACAGCAGAGAGACACCCTTCCTGGGGGATCTGGCCCAGTGCAGGGACTGGGCTGACACCAGGGATGAGAAGAGGATGTGGGTGGGGGGATCCTCTGGATCGTCTCAGTGGGAACACGGAAAGCCCTGGGCATGGGGGTGGGTTTGGCTGGTGCTGGGGCAGGCAGTTGCATGGGAAGCTGCAGGCCTGGGTACACGGGGCTGTTCAGGGGGTGCTGGGGAGGAGCAGGTGTCCAGTGCAGGGCTGGGCAGTGTGCGGGTGGGCATGGGCAGGAGGCAGGTGGCCATTGGGGTGGGAAAAGGTGCCTTGTGTGGTGGGATGGTGAATGACTCAGCAGGTCTGGAGCTGGGCACCCCCAGCCTTGCACAGCCCATGAGGATAGAAGGGACCCCTGAACTGCCCTGGGGACAGCCTGGAGGGGAGTGGGCTCCCACCCTGGTGCCTCTGACTCTACCTTGGCAGTGGGCTCCCCCAGACCCACAGTCTGGGGCTCAGTGATCCCCTGACCCATCCCATCTTGGTGTTTGAAGGTGCTGTGGAGGTGAGGCTGGCAGACGGAGACAGGCGTTGTGCTGGGAGAGTGGAGGTGAAACATCAGGGCAAGTGGGGGACAGTGTGTGATGACTACTGGAGCATGAAGAATGCAGCAGTGGTTTGTAAACAGCTGGACTGTGGGTCTGCTGTTGGAGCTCCTCGGTATGGACACTTTGGGCCAGGATCTGGCCCCATTTGGATGGATGATGTTGGCTGTAATGGCACTGAATCTGCCCTGTCTGACTGCACACACAGAGGATGGGGTGAACATGACTGTGGACATTCTGAGGATGCTGGAGTGATGTGTTCAGGTAAAGAGACAACCTATTCCATACTTCTGGGTCTGGGATTGTGGAAAGGATCTGGCTGTGCCCTCAGGGAGCAATGAGCGGACACTGGAGCACTGCTCAATGTGGCCAGTCACACTGCTGAGCTGGGACTGTCATTGCTGGTGTCCCCAGTCCCTGGGGAAAGCCCCGAGTGAGCCTACCCAAGGGTGAACTAACCCTGCTACAGTGTCTCAGCCCCTCTTCTGCCAGTGTCTTAGGCTGCAAACGAACACCCTGTCTCTGCCCCAGTGTGTCCACTGGTATCCACTGGTCTCCACCCAGTCTGCCCATTCCCAGCCAACAGTGCTCAGGGCCCTGTGCTGGAGAAACCAGGGTGGGACTTTCTCAGAACATCACAACTTGGAGGAACGGCATGAGGTGGCTGGTCCCTGTGGGTCATTCCCCCTCACAGGCATGAGTACCTCAGCTGAATCAGACTGGCTTTTCATGGAGTACAAGTGCTGTCCCTGGGCAGAGGAACAGCCTTGGACCCAAACTGCACACACCACTGCAGTGCTGGGGGGACCATGCCAGTCGGCACAGGGCACCTTGTGCAGCAGCAGTTTGTCTGAGCAGTGCCTGGTGCTGTAACAGACACATACCTTTGGAACTTCTGATGGTGTAGAGAAGGGGTGCAGGGGGGCCTGGATGTGTTTGTGACACCAACACTTCCCCAACAGCTTCTTCTGCATGTTCCATGGGTGATCCTGGTCACAGCTTGCATGGAGGTGGTGTGGGATGTGGGCATGGGAATGCCACAAGGCTCTGGGAACTCCCAGTTGATTTATTTCCAGAATTTTTCCGTCTGGTGGAAGGGAAGAACCGCTGCTCAGGACGTGTGGAGATCTATGATGGGGACCTGTGGAAAAGTGTCTGTGATTCCCACTTTGGTCCCAAGGCTGCTGACGTGCTCTGCAGGGAGTTGCAGTGCGGCGCAGCCCTGCCTGTCACTGGAGGAAGTCACGTTGGAGAAGGGGTGGGTCCCATGTGGGATGGAGAGCTGCGGTGTGTGGGGAATGAATCCCTCCTCGCCTCCTGCCCCAGGGGGTCCCCCTGAGGACCAGCCCTGCACCCACGCAAACAGCGCTGTTGTGAACTGCACAGGTAAGGACTCAGGGTGGGCTGTTGAACACCTGGGCTGTGCCAGGGGCAGGGGAGGAGGGCAGGGACTGTGCTGGCCTTGGCCTGAGAACAGGAGGGGTGATGTTGTCTCCTGCAGTCTGCAGTTACGCAGGAAAAGATGCAGAAGCCAATGTCTCGCTTCTGTTCCATCCTCCTGCATTTGGTGCACGGCTGCCGAAAGGTTCAGGATGGGAACAGAGTCCCTCTGTCCCCTTAGTTACTGTAGCTGCTCCTCTGGGTGCAGTTGTGCAGGGGGAAATGCCTGCTGCCCTGCCACAAAGCCCTGGGGCCAAGGAGCAGCACAGGGATCCCTCTGGAAATGGGGCTTCTTCCCATGTGTCGATGTGACAAGGGCTAGAAAGTGAACAGGTTCACTGAGCCTGTGCTTCTCTGCGTGGCAGAAGGGCTTTTCTGCTTCCAGGGCTCCCACGTTTCTGGCCGTTGGTACCCGGGTGTGGATTTGCCATCCTTGGGCACCGTCCCTGGGGCCCTGGCTCTGCCAGCTATGTTCCCTGTGAGCTGGTGGTGCCTTAACTGGTGGCTCTTTGTTCTGTCATCCCAGAGGCACAGCCAGCCTCCGGGGTACCCAGGAAGGGGTGTGGGCTCTTCACTCTTGTCCCGGAGTCAGGGTGATCCCCGGCCTGACCGGGGGTGGGTTGTGCTTGTGGAGACAAGGGAACTGGGGTATCTGTTCCCAGAGGCTCGCAAAGGGGTGACCTTCCTGGGGGGATCCCAGACAAGGTCAGGTTTGGGCTGATGCCCAAGGACAAGGAGGGGGCATGGGTTGGGAGGCCTCACTGGGACCATCATGTTGCTCCACAGGGGACACGGAAAGTCGTGAGGGAAGAGGGTGAGTTGGGAGGGGCCCAAGGCAGGCTGTGGTCCAGGGGAGCTGGGGGCTCTGGGGAGGAGTAGCCATGTGAGCCTGGGGGATCCCTGGTGGGGACAGGCCCCTTTTCAGGGTGCTGTCTGGGGAGGAGCAGGAGCCCTAATTGGGCATGGGTCAGGGGCGAGGGGCCGTTGGGGTGATAGGAAGTGCCAAATTGTGTGGTGCCACAAATGACCCAGCAGGGCCGGAGCTGGGAACCCTCAGCCTTGCACAGCCCATGAGGATAGAAGGGACCCCTGAACTGCCCTGGGGACAGCCTGGATGGGAGGGGGCTCCCACCCTGGTGCCTCTGACTCCACCTGCACAGGGCTTCCCCGAGACCCGCGGTGCTGGTGCTGAGCACTGTCCTGACTGGTCCTGTGTCAGTGTTTGAAGGTGCTGTGGAGGTGAGGCTGGCGGACGGCGGCAGTCGCTGTGCTGGGAGAGTGGAGGTGAAACAACAGGGCAAGTGGGGGACCGTGTGTGGTCACTACTGGAGCATGAAGGATGCAGCAGTGGTTTGTAAGCAGCTGGGCTGTGGGTCTGCTGTTGGAGCTCCTCAGTACGGACACTTTGGGCGAGGATCTGGCCCCATTTGGATGGATGATGTTGGCTGTAATGGCACCGAATCTGCCCTGTCTGACTGCACACACGGAGGATGGGGTGAACATAACTGTGATCATATCCTTGATGCTGGAGTGGTGTGTTCAGGTAAGGGGACAACCTATTCCATACCTCTGGGGCTCAGATTGTGGAAGGAACCTGGCTGTGCCCTCATGGAGCAACAGTCAGGCATCGGAGCATTGCCCAGTGTGGCCTGTCACACTGCTGAGCTGGAACTGTCATTACTGGTGTCTCCAGTCCCTGGGGAAAGCCAGTGGGAACCTGCCCAAGGGTGCCTTACTGTGCCTGGTCCCTGAGCTGGCACAGATGAACCCTCTATCCCTGCCCTGCATGGTCTGTTGATTGCCATCTTTCTCCTCCTGTTCACCCAGGAGCTGTCTGGCAGTGCTCAGGGCCAGCTGTCCCCATGCCAGAGGCACCAGAAGTGACTCCTGTGGCCACCCACTGTCCTGGGGAAGGGCGTGAGATGGGGAGCTACTTTTCGGTTGTCCCCCTTAGCAGACACAGGACCATTGGCTGATGTGTTTGTGCCACCAGCACCCCCTGAGAGCAGCTGGGGACCTCGTAGGGTTGTTTTGCCTGTGGCCACCTTGGAGATCAGCTGGCATGTAGTCAGGGTATTGCCAGAGGGCTGTGGGAACTCTCAGGGGTCATTGGTTGCTCCAGAATCTGTCCGGCTGCTCTAAGGGCACCGGTCCTCCTGAGGACGTATAGTGATCCATGAGGAGGCCCTTTGGACAGCGGTGTGTGACTCACACTTTGGTCCCAACGGTGCCAACGTGGTTTGCAGAGTCTGCTGTGGGTCTGCAATAGACACACCCCCCTGAGTGCTCTGATGGTGTAGGGAAGGTGTGTAACTTAGCCTGGATGCTTTTTTGACATTAACACTCCCCCAACAGCTTCCTCTTTCATTAATGCAAAAGTCAGTCTGTAAGGAAACTCTCAGAGACCAAGGTTTACGGTTTCTGAAGGAAGCATTCCTTCACTCATGCCAGGCCAGTGAGGCTTAATTCCACCTAGCACTGACTCCCTGAACTTGTTTGTATCCTGTCAATATAGGAAAAAGTCATTCATATTCATTATCTTTATGGCGAGTATATACATAAATACAAGCCTTCCCTGGTACTCCTTTTAATACTATAATGCCCTTTACACATGCGTGGTTGTGCATCCTGGTGGTCGTTTCAGTATGTCAGTGGCCATTACTTCCACCTTGCTCATCTTCTTTACCTTCTCCTTTTCTTAAAATTGTCTATCTTGATACTCATCGTTGTTTTCATTAAGTTCACACATGACAAAATCAGTCCATTCTGGTCTTTTTGCAACTCTTCTTCTTGTTATTATCTTTGGGCATTCAGCATGTATACTACTTAATCTAAGCCGACCTTGGATGGTCAGTAGCTACGTGCAAGACTATCCAATTAAGCACCCACTATCTTCAAAGGTTATGCAATAAAGCAACCGCTACCTTCATAGGACTATTGTTAAAAATAACAGCTTGTTTCAAGGACCTACCTTCTACGCAATCTGTCCTTTCAAGCAAATATTACATGGAAACTTAAAGCTATCACTGGGATATGCAATGGGTGATTTGGTGACAGCTTGCTTAGAGGTTTTGTGGGATGTGGGCATGGGAATGCCACAAGGCTCTGGGAACTCCCAGTTGATTAGATTTTTTTCTAGAATTTTTCCGGCTAGTGGAAGGGAAGAACCGCTGCTCAGGACGCATGGAGATCCGTGATGGGGACCTGTGGAAAAGTGTCTGTGATTCCCACTTTGGTCCCAAGGCTGCTGACGTGCTCTGCAGGGAGTTGCAGTGCGGCGCAGCCCTGCCTGTCACTGGAGGAAGTCACGTTGGAGAAGGGGTGGGTCCCATGTGGGATGGAGAGCTGCGGTGTGTGGGGAATGAATCCCTCCTCGCCTCCTGCCCCAGGGGGTCCCCTGAGGACCAGCCCTGCACCCACGCAAACAGCGCTGTTGTGAACTGCACAGGTAAGGACTCAGGGTGGGCTGTTGAACACCGGGGCTGTGCCGGGGGCAGGGGAGGAGGGCAGGGACTGTGCTGTCCATGGCATGAGAACAGGAGGGGTGATGTTGTCTCCTGCAGTCTGCAGTTACGCAGGAAAAGATGCAGAAGCCAATGTCTTGCTTCTGTTCCATCCTCCTGGATTTGGTGCACGGCTGCCGAAAGTTTCAGGATGGGGACAGAGTCCCTCTGTCCCCTTAGTTACTGTAGCTGCTCCTCTGGGTGCAGTTGTGCAGGGGGAAATGCCTGCTGCCCTGCCACAAAGCCCTGGGGCCAAGGAGCAGCACAGGGATCCCTCTGGAAACGGGGCTTCTTCCCATGTGTCGATGTGACAAGGGGTAGAAAGTGAACAGGTTCACTGAGCCTGTGCTTCTCTGCATGGCAGAAGGGCTTTTCTGCTTCCAGGGCTCCCACATTTCCGGCCATTGGTACCCGGGTGTGGATTTGCCATCCTTGGGCACCGTCCCTGGGGCCCTGGCTCTGCCAGCTATGTTCCCTGTGAGCTGGTGGTGCCTTAACTAGTGGCTCTTTGTTCTGTCATCCCAGAGGCACAGCCAGACTCCGGGGTACCTAGGAAGGGGTGTGGGCTCTTCACAGTTGTCCTGGAGTCAGGGTGAACCCCAGCCTGAACGGGGGTGGGTTGTGCTTGTGGAGACAAGGGAACTGGGGAATCTGTTCCCAGAGGCTCGCAAAGGGGTGACCTTCCTGGGGGGATCCCCGACAAGGTCAGGGCTGGGCTGATGCCCAAGGACAAGGAGGGGGCATGGGTTGGGAGGCCTCACTGGGACCATCATGTTGCTCCACAGGGGACACGTAAAGTCCTGAGGGAGGAGGGTGAGTTGGGAGGGGCCCAGGGCAGGCTGTGGTCTAGGGGAGCTGGGGGCTCTGGGGAGGAGTAGCCGTGTGAGCCTGGGGGAGCCCTGGTGGGGACAGGTCCCTTTTCAGGGTGCTGTCTGGGGAGGAGCAGGAGCCCTAGGTGGGCACGGGCCAGGGGCGAGGGGCCGTTGGGGTGGAAGGAAGTGCCAAATTGTGTGGTGCCACAAGTGACCCAGCAGGGCTGGAGCAGGGCACCCCCAGCCTTGCACAGCCCATGAGGGTAGAAGGGATCCCTGAACTGCCCTGGGGACAGCCTGGAAGGGAGTGGGCTCCCACCCTGGTGCCTCTGACTCCATGGGCACAGGGCTTCCCCCAGACCCACATTGCTGGTGCTCGGCGCTCCCCTGACTGGTCCTGTGTTAGTGTTTGAAGGTGCTGTGGAGGTGAGGCTGGCGGATGGAGGCAGGCGCTGTGCTGGGAGAGTGGAGGTGAAACAACAGGGCAAGTGGGGGACCGTGTGTGGTCACTGCTGGAGCATGAAGAATGCAGCAGTGGTTTGTAAACAGCTGGGCTGTGGGTCTGCTGTTGGAGCTCCTCAGTACGGACACTTTGGGCCAGGATCTGGCCCCATTTGGATGGATGATGTTGGCTGTAATGGCACCGAATCTGCCCTGTCTGACTGCACACACGGAGGATGGGGTGAACATGACTGTGGTCATATCCTTGATGCTGGAGTGGTGTGTTCAGGTAAGGGGACAACCTTTTCCATACCTCTGAGGTTCAGACTGTGGAAGGAACCTGGCTGTGCACTCAAGGAGAAAAAGTCAGGCACCACAGCATTGCCCAGTGTGGCCAGTGTCACTGCTGAGTTGGAACTGTCATTACTGGTGTCTCCAGTCCCTGAGGAAAGCCAGTGAGAACCTGCCCAAGGGTGCCTTACCGTGCCTGGTCCCTGAGCTGGCGCAGATGAACCCTCCATCCCTGCCCTGCATGGTCTGTTAATTGCCATCTTTTTCCTCCTGTTCACCCAGGGGCTGTCTGGCGGTGCTGCGGGCCAGCTTCCCCCATGCCAGAGGCCCCAGAATTGACTCCTGTGGCCACTCACTCTCCTGTGGAAGGGCGTGAGATGGGGAGCTACTTTTGGGTTATCCCTGCTGACAGACATCAGTCCCTTGGCTGAATCAAAGGGGTTGCTCGGAGTGGAAGAGCGCTGGGTTTGGCCAGAAGAGCAGGGTGGCACGTGGCACCTTGTTCCTCTCCCAGGGTCACCCCATGAGAGCCTGCTCATGGGGACATGGCACCGTGCAGGCAGTGCGGACCTGCCACCCAGCCTCTCCTGCCTGCCTCAGCCCCTGGCTGCTCTGTGCCATGGGGGATTTGCCAGCACTTATTGGCTCTCCTCTCTGCCTACCCTTGCACCGGGAGCTCCTGTAAGCCCAGGGCTGCTCTTCTGTCCACTCTCCTGCCTTCTGCCTGGCCACAGGTCAGGGCCATGCATGCCCAGCAGCGCACTCTGGCCATGGCTGAGAACCTCTGTACTGGGTAGGCTCCTGAGCAGGGTGGTGGCCCAGCCACTGACCACGGGTACATCCTCACAGTCCCTTAGTCCTGTGACATGTCCCGTCCACCAGCCTCACCCCAACAGCCCAAGATCTCTGTGGGCATGGGGTGCACTTCTCATGGCACCAAGGGGCTCCTCACGCCTGGCGCTGAGCTCAGCGGGGCAGAGCAAGCTGCAGCAGCCAAACGCACCTGGCCCCATTTCCCCAAACCCCGAGTGCTATGGGGGCTGCAGTGCCCAGGGACCAGTACTGGGCAGCCCAAGGTCTCTGCAGCAGCAGCAGTTTGTTGGAGAGACTCCTGTGGCTGTGAATGTTGGAAGAGAAACAAATCCCCAAGTGCTGTGCTGATTTCTGAGGAGCAGCAGGTCTGGGCCTGATGTGTTTGTGCCACCAGCACCCCCTGAGAGCAGCTGGGGACCTCGTAGGGTTGTTTTGCCTGTGGCCACCTTGGAGATCAGCTGGCATGTAGTCAGGGTATTGCCAGAGGGCTGTGGGAACTCTCAGGGGTCATTGGTTGCTCCAGAATCTGTCCGGCTGCTCTAAGGGCACCGGTCCTCCTGAGGACGTATAGTGATCCATGAGGAGGCCCTTTGGACAGCGGTGTGTGACTCACACTTTGGTCCCAACGGTGCCAACGTGGTTTGCAGAGTCTGCTGTGAGGCTGCAATAGACACACCCCCCTGAGTGCTGTGATGGTGGAGAGAAGGTGTGTAACTTGGCCTGGATGCCTTTGTGACACCATCACTCCTTAAATAGCTTCTAAAATGTGCAGCGAGTGATTTTGGTCACAGCTTGCATGGAGGTGGTGTGGGATGTGGGCATGGGAATGCCACCAAGATCTGGGAACTCCCTGTTGTTTTATTTCCAGGATTTTTCCGTCTGGTGGAAGGGAAGAACCGCTGCTCAGGACGTGTGGAGATCCGTGACGGGGACCTGTGGAAAAGTGTCTGTGATTCCCACTTTGGTCCCAAGGCTGCTGACGTGCTCTGCAGGGAGTTGCAATGCGGTGCAGCCCTGCCTGTCACTGGAGGAAGTCACGTTGGAGAAGGGGTGGGTCCCATGTGGGATGGAGAGCTGCGGTGTGTGGGGAATGAATCCCTCCTCACCTCCTGCCCCAGGGGGTCCCCTCGGGACCAGCCCTGCACCCACGCAAACAGCGCTGTTGTGAACTGCACAGGTAAGGACTCAGGGTGGGCTGTTGAACACCGGGGCTGTGGTAGGGGTTGGGGAACAGAGCAGGGACCGTGCTGGGCCGGGTGTGAGGACAGGAGGCGTTGATGGGTTTGTTTGCAGCATGACAATACTGCAGAAGGAGAACAAGGGAACGTTGTCCCTCTGGCCTCTCCACCAGCTACTGAGGGTACAGAAGCACTAATCCACTCTCTTTTCTCCGCCTCTGTCCCCAGAGTACACAGGGATCAGACTGGTGAACGGCAGTACAGTGTGTGCGGGGAGGGTGGAGGTCCAGGTGCTGGGGACCTGGGGGACCCTCTGTGCCTCCCGCTGGGATCTCTCGGATGCCCACGTTCTCTGTCAGCAACTCAACTGCGGGTTTGCTGAATCCATTCCTGGAGGAGAACATTTTGGGAGAGAGACTGGCCCTGTCTGGAGAGACTCATTCCACTGTGACGGGACTGAAGCCCTCCTGCAACAGTGCCCAGTGACCACCCTGGGGGCCTTGCCGTGCTCCCAAGGGAACGCTGCTGCTGTCATTTGCTCAGGTTAGTGCTGGAAAAATGCTGCATTGAACTCCATTTGTCACTTGTGTGCAACATAGCCACTAAAAGTAGGGGTTCCATGGCCGTATCAGGCTGAATTTCTCCTTGGGGAAACCCTGGCTTCCCCAGGAGCCGTCTGGAGGGCTTTCCCTGCTCAGACTGACCTCTCGACTTTGGAAGAGCTGAGGACTGAACGGAGGCAGGCATCTGCCCCCAGGGCAGTGGCTTAGGCCCCAGCACCACCTCCAGGCCCGGGCTCCTCTGTCCTCGTACTGTGCAGCGAGCCCAGGACAGGGCTGCAGGGCTCTGCTCCATCCCTCTGGCTGCAGCCGACTGCATCCCGTCCACACAGAGAGCTCTGCAGAGCCTCATCCCCCCACCCAGGCAGGAGCTGGTGCCCCCAGCAGCAGCTGACCTGGATCTGAGCTGCAGGGAGGGCCCAGGCTTTGCCCTCGCTTCTCATCAGCACAAGCCTCCACCTTGTCCCGTTTGGTTGAAAATCCGCCCTCGCCCTGCTCCCTGCAGGGTGCCATGCTCTCGGTGCCACTGATGGCCGTGGCATCTCTGCTGTCCCCAGGCCCAGCCGGCTTTGGATCCCTGCGGCTGGTGGGCGGAGGGAGCCGGTGCGACGGACGAGTGGAGATCTTCCAGGATGGGGCGTGGGGCAGAGTCCTGGATGAGCAGTGGGACGTGCAGGAGGCCAGCGTGGTGTGCCGGCAGCTGCGGTGCGGAGAGGCAGGGACAGCCTACAACCCCCCAAAGCCTGAGCGAGGGACGGGCCCCGTGGGGCTGCGAGGGGTCCGGTGTGCAGGGCACGAGGCCAAGCTGACCCTCTGCAACACCTCCCTGCCCAGGCACTGCGCTGGCAGCAGGGCTTGCGGAGGACGTGGGAGTCATTTGCTGGGGTGAGTGGCACTGCCCAGGCGCCCAGGTGATGGTCTGCGCAGGCGGGCAGGCCCTGACAGCGACTGGGGTTTCCACCCTCTGCAGGGAGCCGGCGGGTCCGGCTGGTGAACGGGGCCGGGCGCTGCGCGGGGAGAGTGGAGATCTACTCCCAGGGCATCTGGGGGACTGTCTGCGACTGACGGCTGGGACCTGTCTGATGCCGCCGTCGTTTGCCACCAGCTGGGCTGCGGAGAGGCAGTGGAGGTAGCCAGCTCCGCTCGCTTCGGGGAAGGCTCCGGGCAGATCTGGCTGGATGGTGTGAACTGCTCCGGGGCCGAAGCTGCTCTCTGGGACTGCCCGGCTGGGCCCTGGGGGCAGCACGACTGCGGGCACAAAGAGGATGCGGGAGTCATCTGCTCAGGTCTGTGCCACCTCAGGAGCTGTGGTGGGAGCCTGGTCCTGGGGAGGGCAGGACGCGGGGAGAGCCGGCCATGGCCAAGGCTGCCCCTGGCTGCCTCTGAGCTCCTGCCCAAGGCCCACCCATGCACGGACACCCTCAGTCCCACGGGGGGTCCCTGGGGAGCTCAGCTGTCCCCAAGGGTTCGCGGGAAGGGCAGGGTTGGCTGTAAATCCGGGACTTCTCTCTGCCCCTGGGTGCAAGGGGGATGTGGTGGCCTTGCCCCTGCCGGGCTGAGGGCCTGGGGGGGTGCAGAGGTGTCCTGGCTCCCACAGCCCCAGATCAGCCTGTTCCCGCTTTGGGGCCTTTTCTTCCCAGAGTTCGTGGCCCTGAGGCTGGAGAACAGCGACGGCTGCTCCGGGCGCCTGCAGGTTTTCTACAACGGGACATGGGGGAGCATTTGCTCTAACTCCATCACTGACAACACGGTGACACTGGCGTGCAAGGAGCTGGGCTGCGGGGATGGAGGATCCCTGGAAACACGCCTGCCCTCTGTCAGGGTGTCTGGCCCTGCCTGGCTGGATCGCGTGCAGTGTGGGGACACAAACAGCTCTTTCTGGCAGTGTCCCTCCACGCCCTGGAATCCACAGTCATGTGAATACCTGGAAGAGGAGATCCACATCACCTGCAATGGTAACTCTGAGGCACCCATGCACCAGTGTCACCCCAGATCCTGCTCCCCACGGGGCATGGCCAAACACAGAGAAAGAGCTTGGAGAGGCTTTTACTTTCCATGCCAGACCCTTCCGCTGCCAGTGGCACAAACGTGACCGCGGCCACACACATCCAGCAGCAGTTGCCACCCAGGTTGCCACCAGTGCCTGGGGAAGCAGAGGCATCTCCAGGTGAGGTCTCAGAAGAGACCCGACAGGCTTCAGAAGAGCCTCCCCTCCATAGACAAGCTACTGCTGCTCTGTGAGCCAGGGACCTTCTGGGGCTGAGCAATCAGGGTCCCCCCACAGTCCTGCATGTGTCCCATGGATCACTGGGGTTCAGTTGCTGCCGTGCCCCAGATGGTGCAGGGACGCCCGAGCAGAGCTCAGCCCCGCTCTCTTCTGCATGATCCCCCAAACCAGCCCCTTCACCACAGTGTTTCCTTCTTCAGGGGGACAGACAGAAATGCCTCCAACCTCGCTGGCGCCAGTGCCCCAACTCCACGAGCTGCACAGGTAGGGAGCTCCCCTCTGTGTCTGGCAGGGCTCTGCCTGCTCTCCCGGTGCCATGGGAGGTCTTACTCTTCTCCAGCCAGGGAGAAGATTCGTGCCGTGGGGGGCAAGGACGGGTGCTCGGGCAGAGTGGAGGTCTGGCACCGTGGCTCCTGGGGGACGGTGTGCGACGACTCGTGGGACATGCAGGATGCCGAGGTGGCGTGCAGGCAGCTGGGCTGTGGTCCTGTGGTGTCTGCCCTGCATGAGGCTGCATTTGGGATGGGGACGGGCCCCATCTGGCTGGAGCAGGTGGAGTGCCGGGGGACGGAGCCATCCCTACAGGACTGCTGGGCCCGGCCCGGGGACAGCGGGGCTTGCCGGCACAAGGAAGATGCTGCCGTGCGCTGCTCAGGTGAGTGGCAGGGCTGGGAGCCCTTGCTCGGGTATTGGCAGGGAACTAGGGAAGGCCTTTTGTCCACACAGTCCTGGCATGGACCCCGACCTCCCGAGAGAAAGAACGTTCCTGTGGAGTGCAGGAGCCCGGTGCCAGGCAGGGAGCAGCCTCGGTGTAACTGGCCGTGCTCTGGCCACTGCCCGTGGGGCCCTGCAGCGCCAGGGCTATCCCCTGGGCTGCCTCTGCCATCCTGTCTGCCTCCCAGAGCAGAGGTGCTGGGCTCTGCCCCGGCCTCCCTTTCTGGCACTACAGGAGGGGCAATTTGGGTTGGATGTGTCAGGGACATCTAGACACACACACACACACACACACACACACACACACACGGTGTGTTGGGGAGGAGGTTTCCTGATACCCACACACCCAGTGTCTAAGCCCAGCTCTCCTTTTCCTCCTCTGCAGCTACACCTAGGACGACAACACCCCCACCCCGAGCAGGTAACTTGTCCTCCCCCCAGGCTGGATACCCCCGGGGCCAGGCTGTGACCCACAGCTGGATGGAAGGGGCTCCTAGCTGGGGTGTGAAACTGCCTGGAGGAGATACTGGAGTGGTGGCAGGGGGCTGGGGAGAGCTGTAATTTACCCAGGAGGGTGGAAGCTTCCCTGTCACTCACCCCTGGGTGCTGCCCCTTCGAAGTTGTCTCCCATGCAGATCCCACCCGAGGCCATCAGAGCAGCAGCGGGAGAGTCTCAGTGCCCGTCATCATGTGCATCATCCTGGGGACCCTTGTCTGCCTGCTCCTGGCCCTCCTGGCTGGACAAGTGCTGAGCGCCAGGGCTGGACGCAAAGGTGGGTCCTTGCCCAGAGGTGCTGGGGGGAGATACCTCCTGGCAGGGCTGTGGGGTGCTGCAGGGGGTGTCAGCAAGGGGCACAGGCAGAGCGGGAGGGTGAGACTGTGTGCTGCTACCTGCCTCATGTGCTTCCCCGTTCAGTGCCTGGCTGTGGGGCACCAGAAGCAAGGGGTGGAGAGAGCCCTGAGGTGGGGGCAGTTAGCCATGGGGTGAGGAGAGAAATGGCAGAGAGGGGATGGCCAAGGCTGGCAGTGCTCTCGGTAGTGCTGGAGGGGGCTCTGGGGCAAGAGAGGTGCTAGGAGGAGTGTGGGGCAGCAGGGTCCATCACCGTGGTGTCAGGCCCCCAGGCTGTCCCCCTGCCCAGCCCTGCCCACCCCCTGGTGGGACAGGGGCAGGTAGGGGCAAGCTCCAGGTGACGAGGAAATGTGGGAACATATCCAGGGTGAGACAAGGGGGACATTGTGCACAGGCCAGAGGGGCATGAGCGCTGTCTCCAAAGGGATGATGTGAGGGTGATGCTGCCCCAGATAATCTTCACACCAATGCTGCCCTCACTGGGGATGTGGCAGCTGTGCCTGGACAGTGCAGTGGGGCTGTGCTGTTGGACCAGTCCTGAGGTGGCACATGGAACCGTTTTGGGGGAGCACAGTGGGGTCCCTTTGCCCCTCTGCCTGTCCCTGTGCCAGCCCTGTCTCTGTCCACAGGCTCCAGCAGAGCCCAGGAGCCCTTCCCCGAGGCTGTGTACGAGGAGATCGGGTACAGCCCAGCGTGGGAGAAACGGGCCAAGTTTGATCGCTCAGGTGGGTGTGGGTCTTCCCTGGAGGCACATCCGCAGGACCCTTTCCTCTGGCCCCAACCGAGAGCTGACCCCCTGAAGACCCCCAGCCTGTGGTCCCTGTGGCGCTGGGGCTGTGGGAGCTGTGGGGAGAGCATCCAGGTCCTGATCCCAGGAGAGAAGCTTTCTCCCAGTCAGCTTTGACTGTCCCAGCTGGACAGCCCCTCTCTTCCTGCCCCTGCACCCCATGAGACACCCGAGGAGCGAGGGAAGGGGACTGTCCTGGGCCAGCTCTGGAAGCTCCTTTGAGACAGGGTTTGTCCCGGGGGAGCAGGGTGAATTCCCAGACCTCCTCCCCACATAGCCCCAGCTCTGTGGGTCCCCCTTCCCCAGCAGCGCTGACCGTGAACCACGTCAGTGGGGCTTGCTCCATAACACCCGCTGTGCATCTCTCCAGGCTCCTATTCAGAGGAGTCCCTGACCCAGCTGCAGCCCCACCCTGGGGTCAGTGAGGAGGAGAAAGGTCTGGGATCAGCACCAGGTAACGGAGGCAGGAAGGGGTTGATCTCCCTGCAGACATGGGGTGGACAGAGGTGTCCCTGAGTGTCACCATCGGAGAAGGGGAAGACATGGGCATCTCTTGTGGTTCTGCCAAGCCCAGTGTCTGCGCTCTGTGTCCCTGCACATCCTCCCATCCTCTGCTCTGCAGGACGGATCTTCTCACTGTCACCAACTCCCCTCTCCTTTCAGACGTCCTTGTCCTGCCCGGAGGTGACCCAGCAGATGGCTACGATGATGCCAGGGAGGTTCCTGATGCGGGGGAGGATGCTGTGCCTGGGCAGGGAGAGTGGGAAATGCCCAGGATGCCAGAGGAGGGAGCAGGGCCCAGGGCTGCACCTGGAGGTGAGAGGGAAAGAGAGCGCTGCCTGTTCCTAGGGTGCCATCCCTGGTGCCCCTCAAGTCACTACCCTACTGACACCCAAACCTGCAGGGAAGAGGAAACCTGGCATGGGAGTTTTCTTTGAAAGGCCCGGGGGTGGGAGAAGGAGCTGAATGTGGTGAGGACCAGGGAGGGTGGTGGTGTACAGACCCCATGGGGTGAACTGAAACGTCCGACCTTGCTGCTTGCAGGGGGCAGCCTGCGCTCCTGGAGAAGTGCCGACGTCCCTGGAGCTGAAGGAGACACCTTGTCCCTGTCCCCGGGGAGCATGGGCTATGATGATGCTGAAGAGGTGCCTGTGGCACTTCCCTGTGAGGACGCAAAGGCTGTGACACCCGAGCTTGGTGCACAGCAGTCCCTGAGCCCCAGGCCAGGAGAGCCCATCCCTGCTGCACAGCTGGGTGCAGCCGGGAGGGAGGAGAGGTCTGTGCAGCTGGGAGAGCCGCGAGCACCAGGGGACTGTCTCCCTTGAGCCATGGGCAGCAGAAACTGCTGGGAGTTTCCTCCGTTTTTATTCCCATTTTTATGCTGTGCATTCTTATATTTGCTTATTAAAAGCCTCTGGGGGCTTTGACCCAGAGCTGGTGCTTCCCTACCAGGTGTCAGGGCATCTCCCTGAGGCTGGTCAGGGGGAGCAGAGAACAGAGACACCATGGCAAGGAAGGGACACGTCTCAGGGACAGCAGGCTCAGGGTCAGCCTGTGGGGCTGCGTGAGGCCATGGTCCCTGGGGAATAATCTTGGTGAGAGAGACATCCATCCTGCTGCCCACAGGCAGTTTCTAATCAAAGTGACTCTCTGATAGGTCCCATGATGCACCCCAGTGGGAGCACCCATTTCTTCCCCCAAGGGTTCCAGCTGCTCTTTCCCACAGGCCCTGCCTGGGCCACACTGATCCCACCATGCAGAGGCCACGACAGAGCTGCCATGTCAGGGTGAGCCCTGGGCTTTTGTCTCACAGAAGCGAGCACTAAGGTGACCGCAGGTCCCTGAAAACCCCAGCCAGCCCCAGGTGGGATCATGGCCCGCGGATTACTTCCCACAATGCTTGGGAGGCAGCTCTGCTCCCCACTGCCGTGGGACAGGGTGCAGAGCCACCTCCTGGGAAACACGTGGCTGGGATTCTCTCTCCTCATGCTCTGCCAGGACCCCAGTCTCCATGGGCTGTTCCTCCTGCCTTGCAGACCCAGAGCAGCCCTGGGAAACCCTCCTCCTGCTCCCCTGCAGCTCCCACCCCTGCCCCCCTGCTGCCTTGCCAGGTATGTCAGTTTGGGTTGTGTGCGGGGCAGTACTTGTGGGCAGGTACGTGAGGGCTGGGAGCACCGAGGATGAGGGCACCGTTCCCTCAGCGCTGTTAGAGGGCCAGGGGGTTGGAGAAAGCTTCCCCACAAGACGCGTGCGGCAGCCAAAAGCCGTGGTCCAGCCCCTGGCCTGGAGAAGGACCCATCTGGGAGGATGCTCATGTGGGCACATTTCCATGGCAGTGGAGATTTTGTGTCCCTCCACTAAAACAGGTGCTGCTGGGAGCTGAGCCAGGGTCCCGGTCCCTCTCCCTCAGCTGGGGTTTCACCTGCCCCAGCACCCACGGCACAGAAACCTTGTGCAGAAGCCAGGCTGGGAGAAGAGTTTGGCACCTGGGCAGGACCTGGCGCCCAAACTGCCCAACTGCCCTCCCTGTTCCCGCTGGTGGGTCTCCGCACTCCACCGGCTCTTCACCAATGGGCTTCTCTGCTGCAGGCTGGAAGGTGTGTTGGGTGTCTGTGGCAGGATTGCCTGTGGGGAGTAGCTGCAGCTCCATAGTGCTGCAAACAGCAGGATCTGGCCCTGGAGCAGAAGTGGAGAGGAGGCAGACGTTGCCAACATCTTCTGCTATAGCAGTGTTGCCCCATTCCCTGCTGGGAGCTCCTCCACCCCTTGGCTGACCCTGGGGGCACCTGGGGGGAGCCGAGGTTCACACATCCCTCTGCCCCACACCTGAGAGCCTTCCTGCTGGCAGCCCCCATGGGAGAGCAGTGTTCCCAGGGCAAGACCCCCACAATGATGCGTGACATCCATGGGCATTGCAAACACAGCCTGGACAACTCCCACTGGGATAAGCTCCAGCCCTGCATCCTAGAGAAATAAGGTGTACAAATGAAGTGAAGAAGAGGGGAGTGTTATCTTCTGAACACGGGATGGTGGGGGCCTCTGGGCAGTATGGACACTGATCTGCACACTCAAGGTGCCCCAAGTGGGAACTGGGGAAAAGAGCCCAGTGCCTGTCTGGTGTGACTGCCCCACCAGCTCTGCCCTCCCGCAGGTGTAATATTTCTCCCATAATCTGGCACCTGCTAGAGGTTTGCCTCTTCCTCCTTGTGGAAATAAGCCCCAGGCGTGGGTGTGCTTGAAGGGGCAGCAACCTGAGCAGAAAGAACCTGTTTCATGCATTTTGGGACTTAACAGGTTGGCCCTGCCAGCTGGGTCCCTCCTCTGCAGCAAAGCAGGATTGCCACTGTGCCCCAGATCTGTGGCTGCTCCTGCAGCTCCTGAGGATCTACCTGAGGGGGGTCGCAGTGACACCCCAACCCTCAGCACCGCTGCCCCACACTGGGAAGAGCTCGGATGTGGAAAGCCCATGGGAGAGCAGCCTTATTTCTCTGAGTTTGGGCTCCCTGTTGCCAAGGGCTGGGCACCCTGCGGTGAAAGTCCGTGTCTCTCCCCCCATTTTGGTTGCCAGTTTTTTTGCTGGGGGAGCAGCCGAGGCACCATGTCCTGGCCCTCGCTGCCTGGGCATATGTGTGGACAGGCTTGTGACTCCCCGATCCCACCAGCACAGGGTGCACGGAGACACCAGACACCCCATGAATAAGAGGTGGGCACCGGCCCCACCAGTCGCACCTCTGCCGAGCTGTGCCTGACCTCAGCAGCTCCGCGTTCCCTGAACTGGGGCTCTGCTCCAGTCAGTGGTGCCAGTGGAAGGAGAAACACCTGGAGACAGGGTCAGGGTAGGAAATGTCATTCCTCCGGCTGGGAGTCCCACAGCCCTGTCCAGGCTCATCCAGCTCAGACACCCCTACCTGCTGGCACAGAGGAGTGCTTCCCATGTGGTTTGGGATCTCCCCCTGGAGAAAGGACAATCTTAGAGCCTTGCCTCGGGAAAGCCACTAGGGCAGTGTGGCCCTGGTCCCAAAGGACACCTGCGCTGGACCAGCACTCTCACAGCACATCCCTCAGTGCAGCCAGAAACGATTCCGAGCGTGCTGCTGAAATCTGTGCCCTCCCTGAGGCAGCACACCCAGCCCTGCCACCGCCCTCCTGCCCTCAAAGCCAAACCCTGGCTGGGCAGGACAGGCCCACAGGGCCTGGAGATGACCAGAGCCTAAACTCCAGCCCACACCTGCCTGTGGCTGGGGAGTCAGGGCAGCAGCACCCCTGGAGGTGCAGGGGATGGAACCCAGGATCTCCCCCATGCAAAGCAGCTGCTCAGCCACTGAGCTACAGCCCCCTGAGACCTGCCAGCAAGAGAGACACTCTCCTCCCATGATGTGTCTGTGCCAATCACAGTGCCGTTGTCCCCCAGGTGCCCTGGGACCCTCTGCAGAAAACAGAACCTGAAGCCTCCTGAGATGGGGGAAGTCAGGACTGGCTCTCCACTGGGGCCTGATCCTGCCCTAGGGCTGCACTGCAGAGTGCTGCCCCTTTACCGTCTCTGCAGGGAAATGGGGCAGGAGGAGGCTCTTGCTGCAGGCTCTTCTCCCATGCTCTGGCCCATTCTGAGCTAGGTCGATGGAGAAGAGAAAACCCCTGAGCCTCCTCTGCCCTCCAGGACAGCACCCCATTCTGCCACGTCTGTCCCCAACTCCACAGCAGGAGCAGTGCAACAGGGTGAGGGAAATTCCCTCCCTGGGGTGAGGTGCCCCCCAGGCTCTGATGGCACCCCAGGGTGTGTGTGTGGGGGGCACACAGGGGCAGAAATCCTATAACCCCTCCTCCAGTCACTGGGACTTGCCCTGCACCACTCCTCCCAGCAGCATCCCAGGAGGTGAGGTGGACAGCAGGCTTCCATCTCCCTGGGGCTGCGGGTGTGGGGTGGGCTCAGGGACCTCCCCACTCCTCCAGTGCTGAGGCCTGTCCTGACAGCAAAGCAGTGCCCTGGGACAGCCCTGGCTGGGGTCTCTGTGGCAGGGTGGCTGAGCACGGGCAGCTGTTAACTCCAAGGCTGAAAGCCTGACCACATGCAGGGGTGGTGTCTTCGTGGTGGTAAACATGGGGCAATTGTGCTGCTC